TTACAGCTTATCTGGCTGGTGTCCTGGACTGGAACAACACCACTCTTGAGATGAGTGTCAGTGCCACCAGCAGACAACATCCAGAACCAATGAAAGGGAGGGTTCAACAGCTAAACAGCCGGTCCACTGGGAGTCTAGGGGGAGAACTGGGCCACCAGACTCTATTTTTCCCTCTCACTTCCTCTGCATGTGTCTCTCTTATTATTTCATTTTCTCTCTCTGGATACCGTCTGGGCAACAAAACTCAGACAGGAACGTGGTGTTGGCAGCAAATGACAGACACTCCCAGATCCTCAGCTACTATCTATCTCTTAACTGTTAACACAGTTGTAGCTGCAGTCTTTTAACATCTGTTCCACTTCAGAAGCTCTATGGCTCGCATATTAATTCAAGCAAATGCAATGCATTTTGCATATTAAAGACCCTCAGATGACACCACAGTAGTGCTTTGAATAGACTGGCTTATACTCATTATGCAGGCCAAAGAGGGCAGCCAAGATGATCTTGCTAGGGTCATTGAATAAACATTAAGTGAGGAAAGTGAATCATTTCAGCCTCATCTTTCCTTTGCAGCATCTATGAAAATTCTGAACTTTATTTATACTGCAAAATGGAAGTGTGTGCAACTTTAAGAATCAAGAATCTTATCAACATAATGATTAAAAATATCTCTGAAATTCAAAGAAGCATGTGCGCTATAGTGCAACATTTGAGGTATCCTATTACCATGGAGACAAATCTTTTAAGTGTTTATTACACAGTGTGTAACTGCTGATTCTTACTTTGTACACTATATATAGTAGTTTATATAGTAATTAAGCAAAAGTTGCATTTCTAGTAGTAAAGTTGAAAGTTTGTTGAAGTTTAAGGGCAAAACTATCAAAATAAAATGACTTAGTCATCGGTCCAGCTATTACTGGATGTTTTATGGTACATTATTATTTGTGATACTGGCTGTGATGTTAAATATTATTTTCACATATGCCCCAGCATCAAAACCCTCCTTCTTCCCGCTGGCAGGAGTGTAGCTTAAACCAGCTGTGGTAGAGAAGAAATGTTCTTCCAGTACAGCAGCGTTATGCCTAAACCCTTCATTTAAGGGATAAGAGTGCTATCGGCTCTGCAAAGTAGAAATATCAGAAGTTAAAGTCCTTTCTCTATCTTTTATTGCTTTGAGTCAGTATGGCAATAGTTCAGGAATTTTATGAGGCATGCTTTTCTTCTTATAGTACGATGGATGATGTTTGGCTTTGTGCACAGGAAATCAGACCCAAAATCCAGGTCTTTCATCCAAACTTCTGAAGGTAGTCATGGAGTGCTTAGGATGTGGATTCCCTCCTCCTCTTGCACCAAATGCTCTAAATACTTCAACTGCAGGTTCCTCTGTATTAGTAACATCTCTGCCAAGCAAAAAGAATCACGCTTCAGCTCTCATGCTCTCATTCCTGTCCAGACGAACCGCATGTTTATGATCGTTTTATACTGCAGCATAAATGAGTGTCATACAGCAGTTTAACCACTGGATGCTCGGGTCCAGGTGGGTATAAGCCGATGAACAAATGTTACGGCTTTCAACACCTCCTGCTAAACAGGAAGCCGGCACCTGTAGTATTACGTCAAGTTCGAATGCAGATAAGATGTGACGAGTGATAACCTCGTCAGTAGATTCTCCAGTGTTTACTAAGCATTGAGCGAATGCATCTGTTCTGATAACCTCGTCAATTTTTAAAGCTGTCACAGTTCATGGCAAATACTCTGTTTACCTACAGTGGTGAGACTTGAACTTGTGTAATGGTTTGAAGGAGCTCCAGGAGTTGAATATGAGCCACAAACTATTAGCTTTAGGGCCTCATTCCTGATAACACTAATCTCAAGATCTTTGGGTTTTGAACCAGTGGTTGTACACAACAGGGAACTTGAAATGAAAGTAAATGTGGTAAAATTGTTTTTGTTTTTTAAACCGTTATAACACCAGTCAATGGATATACATTACTTCAGCTCTATACAGTTTGCCATTGGCAAAGCAGCTTAAGAAAATTAATTCTAGCAGCCTTTCTAAACACAATTTCACAAAATACATATAAATATAAGTGTGTGAATGTGTGTTTGAATGGGTGGATGACTGAATGTAGTGTAAAGTGCTTTGGGGTCCATAGGGACTAAGTAAAGCGCTATACAAATACAGGCCATTTACTATTTACCAAATACCATTTCTTAAAGTGGGAAAAGCACCTAACTTATGTGTGTAAAAGTTTTGATGGTCATAAACACATCTACAAGAGCCATTTCAGGATAGGATTAGAAAATAGGCTTTGGGACATATTATAGTGAGGCATATGGCTGGAATACTGCACACCTGGCTAAATCTGGCACACATGCACGATGAGACTAAGCACGTGTTATTATTTCATTTTCAAAAATAAAACAATACACAGCACAGTCACAAATAACCGAAATGGAAACTTTGTGTTTAGACATTTTTCTTTTAAAATCATACTTGTCAATAATAGAAGACCACTGACTTACAAAATAATATTGGAGGATCTCAAAGGAACTTTTATGGATCCTTTTATGTTACCTCACTTCAACAGGCCGAAATGAAAAGGAGATCTTTTCAATCATTGTGCAGCACTTGCCACTGCAGGCCGCACACTCGGAGCTCTTACCGAAGTTTCCAGCAGTAGCAGCGTGAGTTTCTGCAGCGTGCCTGAGCAGGAGGTTTCTCTGTGATGGTGTTAAAGTCTCGCTGGAGTATGAATTTGAAGTTGCGCTGTTTTCCATGCTTCTGACTTCATCCGTGGCCACCGAGTCAACCAGTCCTGGAGTTGCCGCATTCGTGCTGTTGTTACTGGGGGTCCCAGCCCGGAGGGGCCCCGGCAGACCCAGATGGAGGACCAGAAGAGACAAACCGAGGACGTGATTCAAAAACCACGTTTCCATGATTTTTTTAAGACCCCCCAAAACGGTCGCCGATAGTTTCCGTGAAGTCGAGTGAATGTCGGAGAGTCTCCCGGGGACACCATGGGAGGAGCGCTTCGGCGTTTAGTTAAGTTTTAATGGGAAATGAATAAATCCTGGTAAAGATCCGGAGGAGATCCGCAGCTCAGACGGCGGGGAGCGGAAGATAACAGAGCCGAGGCAGCAGCCTGTTATCTCAGCCCGGGCTCCTCCTCCTCCCCGCACACACACACACACACACACACACTGAGAGTCCCGTTGCTGAGCCCAGTAGCGCCTGTGTTGTCTGCAGGTGTCGGAAGCTTTGCCCATAAATATTTTCCTTTTCAAGCCACAGAAGACGTGAAGATTTTAAGAGCTGTTAGTTACTCACATCACCGAATAATCCCTCTACTCTGAGTGTTACGGTAGCCTATCATTACCTGCTGATAATAACCTGTAATCACAGGCTATAGTTGTAAAAATCACTTCTGTTGTTATATAGAGTCTTAACCACAAAGATACCCATCTCTCTCTCTCTTTTTTAAAATATTATTTTATTGTTTATTAGTTCGTATCTTGAGATTTATTTCCCCACAGAACTTTTTTTTTTCATCATTCAAAACCCTCATATGTTGGCTTTCCAGTTGGGCGTGAAGTAAAAAGAGTTTCCCCCCCCCCTTTTCTGTTAGTGCAATCACGTCACAGCAGGTTTTAAAAAAGTGATAAAATCATGTGGAATTCTCTCAGCGGGTCAGTCCATCTGCTGCAAGAATCCTTGGTCTTCATGTTTACTGCTTAGTTACTCTTTTGTGACTCAGACTGTATGTTTGTAGTCATTGTCAAGCTGTAGAATGAGCTTGTATATACATATCCACAGCACATTCCACTTTTCCACACATTAAAATATTTCTATTTTAGGTAGAGCCAGACTGAACTACCAGGCAGACGTTCGTGTGCTCTGGTTGGGATCAGAGGAACATCTGGGGGAATTGGAGTTCGTTTTATGGGTAGAATAACAGATAACTCTTTAGGTGACAAACATTATTTATAGCACATTTTATTCCAAGGGAAACTGTAATTAATATGTCCTATTCTGCAGTTCATTTGTTCATTTTGTAGGCTATTAAGCAACAAACAAACAAAAAAGAGAGAAACATGCATAAATTTGTCTTGACACATAACTGATTGTAAACATAATCAGCCTCTCAAACCAGTGCTGTGCAACACACCTTGTTGGAACTTTTGCTTCGGTGACTTTGGTGGTTGGTACAAACAAAGCAAGCAAACAAATGAAAGATTGTAATTTAATGCACTTTCACCAAACCACATCATTATTATTATTTTTTAATCTTCTGCAGACATTTTGCTCTAAACTCATTCCTGTATGACACAAAGCCCAAACATCCTGTAGGTCCAAAAGTGAGTCGAGTTTAGTCCTGTCTCCATCGTGCATTTAATTCCCACTGCTCACATTTCAAGCCATTGTGCCTCAACTGAAAGTCACTAACTTTTCCAACCGCACAGGGTTTCTTCTTAGTCACTGCAAAGGCACAAAGCACACCAACCCTTCTACAGCTCAGCCCAGTGATAAGAAAATAAGTAATCAGTAGGTTTACAGGCTTGTGTGCCTGCTGGCGGGCTGTTGCTTTCACAGAAACAGGATAAGAGGAAGTGGTTTTCACAGCTTTGCTCAAACACTGACTCTTGAACTTTGTGATACTTGCAGATCATACTTGTAACTGAAAAAAAAAACACCCTAAAAACATTTAGCATGCATTTAATTCACACCATATAGTGTCTTCAAAGGTTTTTGTTTCTTTCTTTTTTTAACCAGGAGAGCTGTTAAAGTGCTTTACGCACATGGGAAAAAAACCTCATTATTTGATAATTTCAGATATGCTATGAACACATTATACAGACTTGGAATTCAAGTATTTTTCAGTCCCATTGTCACAGGTGTATCACACCAAGCATCTATCCATACAGTCTACCTTTAAAAACATTTTTTAAAAAAAAAAAAACTGATTGTAAAGAGCTCTCTGAATTTGAGTATGGTAGCGTAATAGATATCACTATCACAACAAGTACTTTGTAAAATGTCTCAATATTATTATTGCAAAGCAAAAGCATTTAGGAGTTAAAACAATTCAGGCACATAGTGGTAGACCACGCAAGGTAAGAGCAGGGTTACTGCGTTCTGAGGTGTGAAGGGCATGAAAGTTGCCGACGCCTTACAGACTCAGTGACTGCAGAGCTCCGAACTTCCTCTGGCATTAACATCAGCACAAAAACTGTGCACCGAGAGCTTCGTGGCATGGGTTACTAAGGCCGAGCAAGATCCTGTAGATATAATGTATAAGTGGTCCAGTACTTTTGTCCAGATAGAATACATTAAAACAAAGTTATTGCTTATGATTTTTGATTATTATGTGCAAAAAAATATGGAGACGCAAATCCCATTTGTGGTTGCGCCAGGAAGAGCATCCAGCGTAAAGCTGTCAAATCAAAACACGTGGAGCTAATCACTGTGGCAATCCCTTATTAGAAGGGAGCAGCTGAAATTAGTTTTAGGTTTGATTGGAAATAGACCGGCATTTATAGAAGACTTTTGCAGTTTTACAGCCCACACAGCTCCTTGTTCTGTGTATGCAGCAAAATGATAGAGATATTCTATCAATGAGCTGTAGTGAGTGTAAAGTACTTTGCTGTGCTCTGCTGGGTTAGCAGCATCAGAGTTCGTGACAGCAACAGACTGAATAAAGTGATTGTGGATTATCAATCATCCTCACCAACCTCTGGACCACTAACTGGACAGGTTAGTGGGGCAGAGATTAGTTTTTCATTATCATCATCATCATTATTATTATTATTATTTCAACAGCTGTGAGAAAAAAAGTCCCATATATAAGATAAAGTATTTGTCATCTATAAACTATACACTATGTTTTAAAAGTTTTGCATCTTAAAAGGCCATTTTAGAGTAATGGAACGGCAAAAAAAGAGAAAGAAAACAGTTAAAAATTAAAGAGTTAAAGTTGAAGTTTATATTAAGAGGAAATAATAAATCTCTGCATTTGTCTGTTTGCATGAAAACTTGCACATTTTAGCTATCGCCTTTCTCTGATGTATCTTATTCTTCCACATAACCTTTGTGCAAAGCTCTGATTTCCTTGAACCACCACAGGAAAACAATTCGAGCCACTGAGATTCTTAACATGTGAGCAGTATTCTGCCCGTAGTGCAACATGAGACACCGTTTGAGGCAGAAAATGTGGTATTCAGGCTGTCAGCTGCGACGCACAACTGAGGCAGCGTTTAATTCGGTCAGTGAAATGGTGGTTGGACCATGTTGTCGGCCCTGATGAACGACGATTGATGATAGCGGTGACGAGAGGCAAAGTCAGCATTTTCCTCCGTCAGCTGCTTGGTTTTCAGCCCCAGAGTCCCAGACAAAGAGGGCGTCACTACGATCTCATCCCGGGGTGATCCTTTTCTACTGAAAGAGAAGAATACACAGAAAAATTAATTTCAGGCGTAACGATGTAGAAAATAATCAAAAACTGAAATCAACACCATTTACAGTTTAAAACTTATGAGGTTTGGGATTTCATTATCAATTTTATAATAAAAGCACTGTCAGATTATGATTCAGCCATAGAAATAACTCTTAGCAAATTAAACTCACATATAAAACTCAAATTGACTTCATTATTTAATAGACATCAATGATGCAAGATTTTTCAGTGCATAAATAAAATCATAAATACCTGCAAATGCTACTCAGTGTTGATTTGAACCACGTGAAAAAGCTGAACTGAGCTGCAATTCCTGCAAATTAATCAAAAATCCAGACCGTTATGTTTCTACCAGGCAGAAATACATAATCTTCTGCTGTAATAATTTTGCATTCAATGTTGCTAAAATTTTACACCTTTTTCTGCTGTGTGTATCTGAAGCTCTGCCACTACACAGGAGGTAGTAACTGCGCTGTGGCATTGGAAACATCTCCATTTGTG